ATTTTAAAAAGTTATTACCAATAAAATGTATAAGTATGTACCTTTAATGTTTTTTTTATGTAAAAAAGGTATACATACGAATATTTATTTGTGAATAAATTGTATGTCTTCTTTGAGCAAATTATCTCATGGTTTTATTGTACTCCCTTTAGCTGCTAGGAAGGTATATGAAAAGGTATGTGCAAATTTAGTGTATTTTATTGTAGTGATTATATTACCTCTAATACATCTTATCTAAAAACATTAAGACACGGTTTAAGGACGGATTTTTTTCTAAGAATTTGACATTAATTTTACATCAGTGAGTTGCAAAGTACATAACTACTTTGATAATCCACCAAATTATCTAATTATTTAATTAACCTCATATTTACCAAGACACTTTTATGCATTGTCTAATATTTTATTATATACTTATCAATAATTTCAGTTATCTATATATATATATATCGTTTGTATTGCACCCAATAGGATATTGTGACAACTTAAAACGATTCCGTTCATATTTATAGTCACCTAACTATTAAGACAAATATAGAAATGATCAAGTAGCAACTCCATACCTTAAATAAAACCAATTTTATCACATACTGAAATCAAATTGCCGTTGTTTGTGGTGCCGGTGGTGGTGTCAACGGTGTCCAGGCGGTAGCTTGATGATCATTACTTGCAATATCCGAATCCTGTCGATGGTGTCTGTCGATAACCGTTGTTAGATATCTTCTGTTCTCATCCGACTGTACATCGTTCAACGTATCAGCATTTTGGTCAGAATAACTAACGGGTATATGATGTTCCTTCGAAGGGGGATCATATTCGACACTAACAGGAGATACTGTTCCAGTTTGTTGGATCGGTTGCAAGTGTAACATTTGAGAATGATGATGCTGTGGATGACGATCGGGTGTTGTCGATTGAACAGGAGAAGCATGATACTCGTGAACATACTCATCAACAGGGGGTACTGCATCCGTGCCATTTGGATGCAAAGAATGATGCAATCCTGTATGTGGGACTGACGTATAGGATGACATCTGATGGTGTAAATGCAAATTTAAATTTAAGTAAGATTGTTGTTGCTGCTGTTGCTGTTCTGACAGAGACGTAGGGTGGATCCAAGCCGAGGTGTCTGTGCAGTGACTGTGTTCCTGGGGGACTGAGGACAGATTCGATGGTACATATAAAGTGCAACCTGTAGCGGTGGTTGGTGAAGCTGTTCCAACAACGCCTCTACTGAACACAGCGTGCGAAGACGAGGTTGGCGATGGTGAAGGAGACGTAGGCCATTCTTGTGTGGGCGGCAGACATGCTGGATTTAAATTTTGCAAAGATTCTGGACTGCGTGGTGACCAACCAGGTGCTGCTACGTATGCTGTGGAATGCAAGAGTTGTACTGAACTGTACGGATCCGCACGTTGTTCTGTAATGATCCGAGAATTCATTGTTTGACGAAACTTTGAAAAAAGGCGGGATTATAAAATTGACCATAGAAGATCAAGAACTCACCATCTTGAATGTATTTGTGTCTCAGTGTGTAAGGTGCCGATCTACATGTATTTCTGTGGCCAGCTGTAGAAACGCTGCAAGAATTCGAGAGATGATTATTGACTGTCACTGACGCTTGATTTTGCGCGGCTGCAATGGCGGTGGCTGTGTTGTATTCGTATCCCATGGTAGGTTGTGGCAAAAACCAAGCGCCGCTGTCTAGAATTTATAATTCCATATTTTCATAATTAGCAAAATAATCGACAAACAAGAAATATATTTAACGAACAGATTTACTATGATCGATGAATTGAAAGCAATCAGTTAACTTACATTGTGGATAAATCTGCGGATCGGCAGGTCTTTCTTTAGCGTCTAGGAACGCCTTCGCGAAAGGATTGTATTTAATCTTCAAATTTGTGACATCTTCGTTTTGGTAGGCTGTCACCGCTATGAATTGTGTCTCTGGATAACGGTAAGTGAGCACCTGAACATCATTTGCATAAATTACAATTCCCTTGGATGACATCAATTATTATATTTCTCACTTTTTTCATAACAAGCTAAAATAAATCGACGAACATTTTATGTAATATCGTACCGTTCTTTCTTCGACCGCGTCCACGCGTAACAGATGAACTCGTGGCTCGTATTTATGTAGAGAATTCAACATAATCTGTCCGTTTCCATTCGATTTGTTTGTTAGCTTTACTTTAGCAAACGACACAGCTTCCTTCATCCAGTGGGACCCAAAATTCGGACTCTCCGGATGAATATAAATTGGATTCGGTGGAGCGACTTCTGCTTTCCCGCCTGGAATCCACTCGCCGTTCACGTATTTCCACCTACGAGCACGATTTAACAAGATTCATAATATAAAACATTATGAAAAATTACGATTCTAATTAATAAAATTCTTCGTTCACTCGTAATTTTAATATTCATAAAAATACTATGTGGATGATGATTTCACGAATTAAAAATACTGTTCCAATTAATTCAGAGTCGAATTTAATTATGTTTCAGACATCGTCGGTGTATTTTTTACCTATGCGGATCCACCTGGACGAATTCAAGAAGAAGAGTGTACATAGCTTTCGGCTCCAAGCCTCGCGCGACCACTTTGACAACGGGGAACATCCGTCTGAAAGTAAAAGACGAAGAGAGCATGAGGGCTCGACGAAGTTTTCTTCTTTCTATTTTATTGACGTATTCCAAACTTCCTTTATCCTTATCTAAATTTAATTCTCGCTAGTACTAGCTACCACAAGACATTTTGTAAGATGATAACGCGAAGACTCGCGTCCCAAAAAGGAGCAGAATTTTATAAACACTAATGAAAGTAACACTGAAGGCGGCGAGCCGGCAGAAGAATCGAGCCGCCGGCAATAAAACTTTACGATGCCTACAATCCTGGGTAAAACATTCTCCTGTTGAGCTGGTGCCCACGGACACTTTGCCCTGTCGGATGAAAAACGCGGTCGACAAACTGTAATCGTTTTTAATAATATACGAATCGTAAAAGTAGTCGGTCGGGACACGCTTTGGCGAATATCTTTCGGTTTTGCCGGCCGTATACGCGCGAGTTGTTGCTTCGTTGTGTCAATTTTGCTCCTTTCAAGCTTTCGTTTTCTCGAGTTAGATCTTTTTTCTTTCCGTGTGAGAAAAAAAAGCAGTGTTAAACCTTGCGTAAAATGATGCAACAGAATTTTAGCGAATTATTACGTGGCAATTGCCACAAGTATTTCTTAAAAGCCTGGAACAGTGTCGGTATAATCTAATCTAATTTCGAAGAAACAAGCAAGACTGTTTATCGTTGACCGTGGATTAGAAGACCAGAAGAAATATTTGCCGTTGATCATGTTCTCCTCGTTAATTTGAATCGGTGCGAAAGAGGCTGCAAACAGACAGTACAATCACAAGGGAATAACATACGATCCTCTTTCTGTGGCAAACATGGAATATTCATTCGCGTGAATCATCTAAATTCTCGTAACGCTCTCTTGCAATCATCTTCCTCCATTCTGTGCTCCTTTTTTTTTTCTCTTCTTTTCCACGGTGTATATGAACTATTATTTTTACCTTCTGGCTTGTTCGCACCGACGCTCTAATTAATACATTTTTACGCGCGACGAAGAGCCATCTTTGCTCTCGGACCTTTCGACCAGCGAGGATCCTTCAAGCCTCTCGAATGTGAAACCTGCCGTGTACTATTTTAAATGTGCAAATGACTCATATGTGTCGGTGTATCGTTCGATGCAATGTTTTTTTCCAGCTGACAGTTGTCGCTTTTTTCTTCTTCTAAGAATATGAAACTTTTAACATCTTCCGTCTCTATCGCAGATTATGAAAATCCATATCGTACATTTTTCTCCAGAATTTCTCGACATTTTTCAACTATTACACACTCACCTTCCATTTTTAGTGACGATCATCTCGTTGGTCAGACACTGGAACTTGGTCCACAGATCTCTGTCTTCGAGGGACAACGAAAGGGGTAATCCTTGACTTCCGCTGACAGTCATAGCACTAATACTCTGACCGGAAACCACCGTTCTCTCGTTACTCCTCTCCTCGTGATCTTCCTCAGGAGACGCTCGACTTTGTCTTCCAGCACTAGTTCGTTCCCTTTCACGATCCTCGTGAACTTCTCTCTCGCGTTCCCTCTCGCAACAGGATGACCGTGCTGGAGAACCAGGCGTAACCGGTGCTGGCTGCATTTTCTCTCTTCTTCGAACCCTTGTAAGACGAACACTATTCCCAAAAATTCTTACAATTCGATCGTCTCTGATGATGATAAATAGAGAATCATAACCAACACTATGTTACAGGATATCTTCGTGAAGACGGAACAACGATATCGGAAGAAATTACGAAGGGTATCGAGAAGAAAAAAGGGGAACAGGGAGAAGAAAAAAACAAGCTTCGTCTGATACGACTTTTCAATTTTCCGAACGAATTAATGATTCGGATGGATGTGTAAAAATGGCGAGGACGTGACAAAGAGGAGACAAAGCGTCGAAGAAGGACAGGAAGCGTCGGTGGCGGGCGTATTCCTCGCCTGAGAGACTATTCGGTCCCGCGGCCGCGTGGCCCTGCTCGTAACACTTGGGCGCGATATTTCACACTAGTCGGCGAAGACGAGCCGAAGACTGACTGCTGACATATCGTCGTCTCTGTTCGACGTCTTTCTTCTCTCTATTCTACGATGGTACCCTCGCCGGGAACCATCCAATCGATGTCTGTACGCGGTTCTCCTGTTCTACGGGTGCTAATTAAACTCTAAATTAGGAAGCCTCCTCGGGAGCAGCATGGCGGCCACGTAGTCAAGCAACGTCGATTGGCCACGAGGAACCACGCTCTGTTTCAGCGATTTCACTGGCGGTTAGATTCTTTTCGAAGATAGAGGACATTGGTTGCCGCCTTTCCTACATTTCCTCGACCAATCCATGCACGGGACCATTTTACGATTCCACGTCGGTTGGTCGAACCTCGAGAAAACACGAGGCCCGCCAGTCCGCCCACGCGACAGTCGTGGACAGTCGTGTTCGATGGCACGATCTCTCCTCGAGCATCGCGATCCTCGATCGAGATCTCTCTCTTCATCCCGTGGACTGCACCATTTGTTTGCTCGTTCATGCGTTCACCGGTTCATCGTCGGGACAGTTCGTGGTTCTTTTTCATTTTTTTTTCTTTCTCCTTTTTATGATCGAAGTGCAGCGGCTAGAGAGCTGATCGCATGGACGGATTAAGAATGGAAGATTCTCTTACGTCGTGTTTCGATCAAAAGTGTCGCCTGATTTCTGTGTACGGTTTCTCGAGACTTCAATGTTAATTCAACTTCAAGAAGATTTGGAAGAGTGAGAGCTGTAGAAATGCTGGTAATTATTTTTTTGTCGTCCTTTATAAATTGATACTGTGATTAGAGGATCGAGTGCTTTGCATTCGATTAAAAGTTAAGTATGAATCTGTGATATAATTCTTTTGCACACTTCGAAAAATGTTAATTGTCTCTCTTCTAATTAACCGTAAATTTAGAACCATGTATCTGATTCGTAACAATTTCTCGATCCATGTGAAATCAATACTTCTAATTATTTTCACTAGAAAAGATCTCCCGAGTTAACCCAAAGCTGTTAATTATTCCGTTAATTCTCTCGTGATTCGAAATTTTTCAAGGTAATCGTAGCAACTAAATGAATCTCCGTACACGCAAGTGCACCAATTTTTTCGAAGACTATTCGTTCCTCGAAAAAAAGAAAAAAGAAAAAGGAAGAACACTCGAGGACCGCAGCTGCAAGCGAAACAGTTAACCATTTCGACGGACAGACGAACAGACAGACAGACAGAGTGACCGTTTCGAGTCAAATGACAAAAATCAACAGCAAGTTACGTCCGACCAGCCGATGTATCGCGAGTAGATATTTGACCAGGACCGTTTCTTGTTTGCTATCGTGCGCGGTTTTGGCTGGTAAAGTAACCATTCAGCCCTGACAGATATTTGTCCTAGTAATTTCGTAGAGGGAAAAGTCGCGATATCGGTGCTGGCGAAGCGGCGAAGATATAACAGAGAAGTTATCTCTGTTAAATGAACACCGTGTAACCATCGTCGATCCATCATTTGTTCAACGGTTGCCTGTGCACCTCGGTTATTAGCGAAACTGATGTCAAAGATGAGAGAGATATTCCATTTTCGAAAAAGACCACTCGGTCGTTTGTAACTACGTGAAGATCCCAGGAATCGGTCGGAAATCTTCAAACTCTTCGAACCGAACTCGTGTTCTCAGCATTTCCTGGAACATTCATTCTGACGTGTTTTTCTTAGACATTACTAATTCCTATTTATAATCCTTTTTATGGATTTATTGGTCCTGTCTAATTAAACAACGAAACACACAGTCGTCGATACTGTACATCCTTCGTCCCCCGTTGCAATTCTTTATCTCGGATGCATCGACAGTGGCTGAGGTAATAAAAAAAAGGAAGAAAGAAGAATATCTTTACCACGAAAATCCTACGCGATGCTTGATATTACCTGTTGTATACGAGTCGTTTACGATACGGATATCCCGTCCGTCACTACCTGTCGGTTAGGTAGCTCACCTGACGGATTGGGAGGTCCACACCAATGTTCTTCGGTCGCGTTTGAAGAATGCCGCCTTCTGCTGGCTCATCTATAATAAACATCCACGATTACGATCGACGGTGATAAACCATCGCCGACCAACCAGCCTTTTGTTCCCTTTTATATTTACAAATTGCATTCTTACACGGAAACGGAAGCGTTTAATACCTTTTACTCAGGATCGGCAAGCATTTTTTTTTCAATACTTTTTCTTACTTGTTCGATTTCGACGAATGAAAGTTGCAACGATTATCTTGTCTTCTCTTCGTAGTACATCTCCTGTGGTTTTATTGCTTACTTCGTCAAACGTACATCTTACCGACGGAGTATTATCTTTAATCTGTTTATTTAATGTCTAAACAATTATCAGATACAGAGAATTGATCGGAAAATATGAAATCTAATTGGTAGCTACTGTGAATATGAAATTAGACAGTGGATTTAGTTTACGAACGAGGTATATTTTCCATTCAAACTTGAAGAGAATAATGTACAAGAAAATATTATCTTTAATAGTCTAACTTAATGAAAGAAATAATTGTTTGTTAATCTAATATGTTAAATGAGACGTCTTTGTGTTCGAAGAAGGTTACTGTTACACGTAAAGACTAGCATTTCTCTTGTAAAACGTTTGTTTCGTTTCCTTCAAAATGGTCTTATCAAATATTTCCATCCTTCTTCCCGGAAGAGACGCTCGAGTGTTTCGGGGAACCGCCGTTCTCCATCTTTAAAGCTGTCTGCTTACGAATATCCTCGTCGAAGTCGTCGTCTCCGTTAGTGTCGCTACTTCGATTCCCGTTACTCGGTGTACCGATTATCACGTAACTTCCGTCACCCCTTTCGCTCGCGAACGACTCGTAATTCTCGATTTGACGCAGTATCTCCGACGGATGGGCCATCGTGGTGTTCTGACAGAACCATTCTTTGTCCCTCGCGTGATGGGAACAGTCCAAGAATGCAGTGCAATTCTGTATAGATTTACGTTTATAAAAAAACGTTGATAAGTGAATTATTTATTCGAAGAATAGAATCTTTCGTTCGATAATTATCAGATTTCTTAAGATTCTAAGAATCTTATTTCTGAGATATTGAAGATAATGATGAGTTCTAAGATACTGAAGATAATGAAGATTTCTACGATACTGAAGATACCGATGATTTCCAAGATATTTCTGAGACAAGGAACTTTTGAAAAATAGAACTATTTTTTAACATTTTTTAATACAGAAGTCAATCTCTGGACTTCCTTGAATTAAAATATTTCTCTAAAAAGGGTGGAAAAATATTTCACTTCGTTTCGTTTATTTTTCAGAGTGTTTAATTACTCCTTACCACAATGTTGTCCGAAATTCTGGATACTCCGCATCTCGATTGACTGGCGAACCAGCAGCACTCGTCGGGCATGATTCGCGAAAGGATCTCCCCGTTTTCGGTGATCCTGTGAATGGCAGCGGAGGTTCCAAGGATTCCGCAGGATCTCGACGCGAAAGGAAAGATAACAGGACTGGGAAGGTAAGTCTTCGGGTGTAACTGAATAGAATAATAACAGACCAATACGGTAATTTCGTCATTTTCATCTTTTTTGTGTTTTTTTTTTCGTTTTTTTTCTTTTAATGTTCTTTTACTCCTTTACTGCTGTCGTACAGACATCCGTTTCAACTCTCGTTACGCTGTTCACGCACGATCTTTCTTTCGTTTAACACATTCCTCTATTTCTCTCATTCAAACTCATCAAAGAATCTCACTGGTTAAGCTGGTATTTTCGTGTTCGAATGAAAAATGTTGAATTTAAGCTCAATAATACCGATATTATTGTGGTTCAACGTACACAGTGTACGAATGAAAAAACATGTTCTCTAACTCGGTTTAATCGCATACTGTCCAGCATTTAACCCTATCAGTTCTGCCCTTTCTTGATCGATTACTTTACGATTCATCCCCCTCTTTTCTTTATTTCGCTTATCAAAGGTAGATGTATCGAGCTACGGTTTACATTTAATACAGTAGGCTAGATTGAGCGTACATTCACTCCGCAAAAGTTCAAAACTGATAGAATTAAAACTTGGCGAAATATACTTCTTCCTCTTCCTCTCTTTCTTTCTTTCTTCTTCTTCGTCTTCTTTCTTTTTCTTGCGTTGGAATTTGATACTTAATAACACGAGCCTTTGTAAGGACTTTTCTCACCAACTTGGCACTTGTAGGATTAAGAGATGTACAATGGTTCGTAATCGTTCTCGTTTCTATACATTTCGATATCCCTTAACACGTTTTCCCTAGCGATTAGAATGAATAGGTTTGCTAATAATTAGACAGAAAGTCAAGTTACGAGTTATAATACGAGTTAAGTTTTTTTTTTTTGCATTTTTTTCTGTTAATCGTTCGCCACTTCCGTTCCTCCTCTTCTCTCTCTATCTTTCGTTTCTCTTTTCTTTTCCCGTTCTCTTTTCTCGATTCCTTTCGATGGTTCACCATTTTCTTCTTCTTCTCTTCTCCTTTAACCGTACTACCTCTACACAGAATTATCGTTGCCAATAATGAAACGTGGATTACGCATATCTCTCCTTAATCGTAAAGACGTGGTAATTCCCCCCTATAATATATTACATGCCTGCATCGCCAACAAGACAGATCGGTAAAGTAACAAAATTATTAAAATTTCAAGTAATCAACGTGTCACTAAAATTTCGTCATAGGATTCACTTATTGGAGGCGACGAGATTGGCGTGATAAGAGAATTGCAAATGTGAAATCCCTTTGTTGTCTTAACTTTTGGCCCGTTCGAGATACAAACGCTACTGTGATTCTTCGTTAAATTAGGTCCATGCGTTTGTCGTTAAATTGTTCGTTTCTCATTAACCATCGCTGTATATATTTCTCAACCATCGCTGTATTAAAGGTGAAAAATTTCAAAAAACTGGACCTCAATCGAGCGTTATATATATATAATTTGTGCCAGTGCACTAATAATCCAAAAGTTAAAACAACCAATGGTCGATTGTTCTAGACAAATAATTACACGTGTATCGTTAAAATTTCTAACGAAGTTCTTCCTTTTTCTCTCTCTCTCTCTCTCTCTTTCTTTCTTCTTCTTTATCACAACTCGCCTTTTCCGACGTCGCGACGATATTCAGCGTGTTTTTCCCCGCTGTGTACATCTATAAACTACGTCGTTTTAATTTTAAAACAAATCACAGCATTTACATCATTCCATGCTTCTCGGACGTTCTCTTTATCTGTCCGGGAACAAAAAAGTCGAGAATGTTGCCATCGTTAAGTACTTCTACTACGCTCGATCAATATTCATCATAAACTTGAACCCGTTCGTCGATTGAACGGTGATCGCCACAATGTTCAAGCCGACTGTTTGTTCGACGAAACATCCTGTTCGTGAACTATATTTAATTTACTTTCACGTAGATCTTCGTTTAACACGTTCCACGTTGTATCGATACTCCGATAAATCAGAGAAAATAGATATTTGAATACGAGCAATTTTTTCAATTCTCTTTTACCAGTATTTTTAGAGAAATTTATAAAAAAGGACGACTCGATCATTTTTAATTTTTTTCAAAGATTCACTGCCAAAGGTAATACACGGAGAATCTTTTATTCGAAACAACATCGAACGTGTTAAAGAACATTTCTCTCACGTTTCAAACGTGTATTCTTGCCTCTTGTTCCGGGCAATCGAGCGAACAGAACGAGGGAAGGTTTTCCTTTTCATACGCGATAAAATACGTGGGACGTAAGCGCGACGGTGAACGCGAAATAAAAGCTTCTCTTGTTAATTTGGTCCCATTATAGGTACAGGGTAGCTGGCATGAATTATGTCAAGTCGATGTACCGATTGTGATGATAGATCGATCAACACGAGTCACAGGTGCCTGCACGGGATTCGGAACTTCGCGGTAAATTGAAACAATAACTTCTAAAATTAAATCGCCGAAATAATACAAAGAAAAATCGTTCTCGAGTGTGATTTTTTTTCAATTTTTTCAAAAAATTCTTCTCGTTGAAACGATCTAACTAAATTGTCACAGTAGATCGTTCATTTTCCCTTCGATCCAATACAACATCGCATCGTCAGCATGTTAATGCAAGAGATTCTAAAAACAACTTCTTTTTGTTTTCTTCTTCTTCTTCCTCGTTTCTATGTATATTCTGAAAAGGTCCCAAAGTTACCTTAATAAATGGATTATTAAATGTACGTTAAAATGGATATATAAAAAATCCCGATAAACCCTATGTGCGGTATTATTTTTCAAGTTGCATTATAAACTACAAGTCTTACCATCTACAGTCTTAAACTTACGAAATTTCTCGTTCGATCATTTTTTTGTTTTCCACTTACGCTTTAGTGACATTAACACGCCGAAGTTGCGATATTTTTTTTTTCGTCTTTTCTCTTCGGAAATATTTCGATCTGCTGTTTAACGTTCGAGAGAAAATAGGGAAAAAAGAGTAGTTCCGAAATGTTGAAAAGTAATAACCGTGCGTCCCCTTCAGAAAAACATATTTTTCACGAGCAGAAGGGAGTGCGTAACACGTCGGCCTCTCTCGACTTCCTTACGTTCGCAATATTTAATGTTCACTTTTATTTATACGTTTCTCCGCGCGGCAATACGTGTCGCCTAAATATTCTACTAAATAACTTATACATATACCTTTTCGTCGCGCGTGTTTTTTTCTGCTTTTTTTCTCTTTTTCTCGTTCCTCCGTTATACATATAAGTACAATATGTATATGTATATATATATATACTTCTTTGGTGTCGATTAAAATACTTTCACCGACACATTTTGATTAGATTTCATTTTAGCAAGTCTGAGCAACTCACAGTTGATTTTCGATATTAACCAGGAATTTGTACGCTACGTACGAAAAAATATACTAAGGGATATTTCATAAGTTCGAAATATTTTAAGTGTTACAGAGAGAAGACAGAAAAAAAAGGAAAAATAGAAATTTCTTTTTCGTAATTTTCCAAGTGATATGAGATGATGTTGCTTTTTTCGAGAACTTTGGTACACGCGAGCGTGCCGTTGTAAGTTGCTCAACTTTCGATACTTGACGTACGAGACCCGCGAACATCGTGTTGCTTTTGATTCTTTCTTTTCTTTTTTTCCTGCTTTTTATTTTCATTTTGATTCGATCAAGAATTTTGAAGACCTTTGACAGTCCCACAGTCGTCTTAAAGGCACAATCTCGACAAACATGTGTATATGTAAGTTTGTCGGGACGTTTCGTACGCCATTTTATAATCTCCGACGAGTCGACGGTCTTTCTCGTGTAATTTTCTGCCACGTTTAGGAGATGGATAAACGAATCGTGAACAACCGACGATTCTTTCTCCGTCGTGCAGAATACTTGTATCATCGTTTATCTCGTCGTCGGAGAGAATAATTTTAATCCTACAGACAACTGGACGTAATTCTACGTCCGCGACGAATCGGTAACTCCTTTCGCGGGCTGTCCAATTCTCTTGAACCCACACTATAAATAAACGCAGCGCTTGTAGACCCGTAAAAAAATTCCGCGTTAAGTGTAGCCTCATTCATAATTCGAATCATACACGCAACAGATTGTTAATACACATGATTACGATTCTTTCAATCAAGTTTTACAAACATCTACGTACATGTATACATCACAGAATATACAAATTTTCTAGTCATTCTTTCCGTCGTTTATCTTTCTTCTTTTTGGACGCAACAGTTTTGAAATTGTTTCGCGAAAATTAATCCGTCGAATGAAAAAACACACACTCTCTCTCTCTCTCGCTCTCTCTCGTTTACGGTCTTCACACTCTTGAAAATGACTAGAAGTCAAATGGAGAGCGACGGGAAAAATGGTCATTTTGAATTTCACTTGGAAAAGAAAAATTTCTTCTCTAGCACAATTTTTAGAGATGTGTAATACAGCTCTTTCAATCATTCTCACAACTGCATCATAGTTGTACTATTACACATTACCGACACTACAGAGTAGCGCAGATAAAACGTACTTTCCATTCAGAGCCAGTTTTGCATACGCCACGCGGTACATGTCCTGCAACAATTTCTCTGTTCCAAGTGTCGTCCAAAATGCTAATTCAACGCCGTTCTTTCTTCAATTGGGAAGTATCATAGCCCACGAAAGGATTAAAGATCCGCTTAAATTTCGCTACCTATAGCGCCCACGTGAGGACTATGCCAACGAGGAGCTGTCGGCTGTTCGCAGAATATGCCGATCGTCAGCTCGTTCGACTCGTCATAGTTTGTCTCCTCGCTGTCGTCGCCGTCGAATGACCTGACGGTCGTCGTTGCGCTTGTAGTGACCACAGACGTGTCGTGGGTCGCGGCGCTCGCCGTAGCACCGTTTACCTCCGACATACGATCCGTACTTACGTTAGTGCTGTCCGTGTCGGTGACTTCCACGTTTCCGCCGCTCTCACCGACCATGTTCACGAAGAACTCCGATCTGGAGAACCTGCCGATCTCCGTGGAACCGAACGCCTGATGGAAACCAGGCAACGGCTGTTTGCTAGCGGCCTTCTTCTTCGCCTCGAATCTCTCCGTGGATCGACGAGACTCGCGTTCTTTCTCACGCGGTGCATTCGATTCCTTTTTGTACAATGGAAGAAGCTTCAGTAACCAGCGGGTTCGATAACCGATTCACCAGCTGAGAAGAAGATCTTACCGTCGTTGCAGTCAGATTGTCCATGGACATTCTATTGTTGATCGCGTTCGGCTCCCACCTAGGACCCTCGTCCTCGCGGCGAATCCTCGACGTGGACGCGGAATCCATGACAGAGTCGACAGAGGATTCGAGTAATCTTGGCATCTGAAAGGAACGTATCGAGTGTATTGCACGACGTGTACTACGAGGTTTCTGTAGGAATTTTGTCGATGCGATACCGCGACGAAAAGTGAAACGAGAGAAAATCAACACATCTTCTATATAGATACATATTGAGAAAAAGAAAGAACCTGATGCTCAGGAGGCGAGTACGACGCTCGTACGTTATCAATGTCCAGTTTATTAGGGTTGTACGCCATTCTAGCTTCTCCAGAGAATTCGCAGTGTCTGCTAGGTAAGCGGTCTCTTAACAGCACTGTGTGTCGAGGTCCGCGAACTCCGACGTTTCGGGGCATAGGCGGTGCATCTGTAAAGTTACGTATTAACAGATTATCCATCAGTCTTCCAAACTCTTCCTCGACTTTTCTCTTCACTTACGCGGAAGAACGCCGTGACAAAATTGACCCCACGGTCCGTGTCCGTGGGAACCTCTGCTCTGAATGTTCGGATGCAGAATACCAGCCATCTGAGAAGGATGTGCCGTCCTTGGATGCTGGTGAGCACCTCCGCCGTTCTAAAATCATCGATCGTAGGGAATTGAAATTTGTTCAACGGAAGCGAACACACCTATCACCTACAAAGGAGGGTATTCACCCTAACGGTGCGCACAATGCTTCAATTCATAACCTCGAAACGAAAGTATTTCGACGTCACTCGAAGTTTTCTAATCGACACAAACGATTCTTTTTCCTCGCATTATCTCGAAATCAGAGCGAACACCCTCTTTAACAAGAACGCAATAATACTTGATAAGGATGCCACTTCTGACTGTCGGCAAACTCGGCGTATTCCGCGATGTTCTCCTGACGGCGAAGTTCCCTTTCGCGACTGACGTCGCTGAAATCAACCGGATATCCGCCGTTGGAGAAGCCAGGACCGCATTCCGTGGCGTTTGCCACGCTCGCCTGATTCCTCATCGCCTCCTTGCACTTGTCCAGGCCGCGTTGGTGCATACCCATCACTTGAAGCCTCTCAATCGGATCGCCAACGTTCCCGTACCAATCGGCCATCCGCGGCGAATGAATCGGTTTCGGTCGAGGCGGTGCCTGGAACCACGGCTCCGCCACCCTGTCAGCCTCCACTGAGGAGGTCATCGGTAATCCTGACGTGGACACGCAACCGAAACGATGCTGATGATCGAGAAATCCACCGGATGCGACTGGACCAGCGATCACGCCCGCTCTAGCGATCGCGTTCTGCAGGATCGATCGCCTGGAGAGCTCGCGAGTCTGTTCGCGCATCGCCTTCCGCAGCCTCGCCTCCTTTGGATTGTACACGTAATCTGCGAGACAGGTAAACGTTTGAACGGTTTGCGTTAAACTGGTTGACTTTATTGGATGCGATAGTGTAGTATAATCTTGGACTGTGAAGAATTAGATAAGGAATGCAAATCGTGAGTCTCGTGTAAATAAGATTAGATGTCACCGAGTAAACTGGGGTAAAGGATGACTTCTGGAATTTACGTTACAATTTTTCAAAGTGAATTTCGAATAGAACGAATAGTGTTTTCGCGAAAAGGATGTTTCTGTGATATTTCAGACTGCAGTGTGGTTTCCACGCAAGCGCGTTAGATCTTCGTCTATCACGTAGGCTGGGGGTCGAACGATATTTGACTTGTTTAAACGTTAATCTTAATAAGTTGGAAACGTGGTATTAAGAATTATTTGATCTCAGAAGGTTCTTCGAGGTTTGTCAGGTTATCTACCTGTGGGATACGCAGGCGGTACAGTTCCATTATAGCGCGCGTTGGTCTCGATCGCGGCAGAGATCGAAAAACCGCCGTAATCGGTGGCCGCGTTCTCGTAACAAAAGTAGTGTTGTTGTTGATAAAAGTGACCCCCACCCGCATACGCTTCGACGTAGTTGCAGCAGTCCATCTTCGCGACCAAGGACAGTCCTTATCGCGTCGCAAAGAACGAGACTTCTTTACTCTGCCTCCCGAGGCTTATCAGCTTTCACGTTCGCGCGCAAATCCTACCATTCGAGAGGCTCGAGGTTTACAAAACGGAAGTCAGAATTTCCACGAAATGTTCTGATATATATATATTATCGAAACGAGTGTCTTTTATTTTTATATCTGGAAGAATCGCAAAAATTGGCCCCTTCTTCTTCGTTTACTCCTCTCTCTCTCTCTTCTACCTTTATCTGCCCCCTTTCGTTTCTTCTCTTCCTCTATTTCTTGTCTCTCCTCCTTCTCTCTCTCTCTCTCTCTCTCTCTCTTTCTTCCTCCTTATTGTTCCGTCGTACACGTCACCGAACAAAGTTTACGTGGGAAGACCACGTAAGAGGAGGGTGCATCGGGAGGCGTTCGATCGGCCTCCTGCATTCCGTCGGGAAGACCCAGCGTTCGCTGTCCCGTCGCGCGTGGCGTCATCGTCGTACCCGGCGACGTTATCCTCGTCCTCCTCGTCATCGTTCTCTAATCACGGCCGCGTAACCACCGATCAACCAACTCGTCCTCCAGACACTGCACGAAGCATGCAGTTCTTTTTTTTTCTTTTACTAACTATAGTAACGTCGATCGCGTCTCGAGGGCTACGCGACCCATCGATTCCAGACTTGGATACACACGGCCGACGTGTCGGACGGTTCGCGTCATAGTAGCTGCATCGGGCGCAAGATCGATGCTTGAACGCTTTTTCTCTTCCTTCCAACACCTCCCGCGCTCCCGTTTTTCCCTTCTAATTCGTTCGACCGCCACGCATCTCGGACACGCTCCTCCAATCGATATCAATAGTTTATTTCCATACTGATTGCGAATACATTCCCACTCTGCGTATCTATTCCTATTTTCACGTGTGAACACATTTACCAACAAACCAAAACCCTATTCCACGTACCAAATTACTCAACGATATAAAACGTGTTCAACGCACACTATAGTGTTCTTAATCGTTCCCCTCTTTTTTTTTCCATTCCTTCCTTCCCCTGCACACAACAGTTTAGTTAGTTCACAAAGAGCGGACCAATGGACAATCTAATTCGCATTTGTACACTTTTTCTTTTTTTTCTTTTCTTTTTCACAAAATTCCCTTCCAAACTCCAACACTATTCCTGATGGCGCGCTTATCCGGCGACCTATTTAACGCGAGCGTCTCCCGCTATCTGACGCTCCTCCGTGTCGTTCGTCTGGAAGAGGCGCGCGTGCCGCAAGCGGGAACGACAGGCCGCGCACGGGAGACCCGCGTTCCTGCCTCGCGGTGCACTCGGGTCGCACTGATTTTCACGAGCGGCAGCACCGTGCACGTCGACGAATTTACGTGCGTTTCGTCATCGACGAATCCGACGGGGCTGCTCGCCGCTCCACAGCCACAGAGGTGGCGGAAGAGGAGGAGGTGGAGGAGGATGAGGTGATGGCGGAGGAAGAGGGAAGAGGAGTAGTAGGAGGGTCTGGCCAGAGAGGGTGGCTTTTTCCCCACCCTGTTGGCTGAACGTTCGAGCCGCGAGGAGAACGAGAGAAGAGTTCCTGGCCTCCTCTCGTTTCTCCCTGCGCGCGGAAAATGTACAAGAAACCCTCTTTTGTCGCCTATCGATTCGTCGCCGCTTCCTCCTTGATCCTTGACGACCCCGTACGATCTCCTCTTCTCTTAAAATTGAACGTGTCTTTCTGCGCCACGTAGAGAGACCGATCGAGGCTTCGTTCGTGTTATTCTTGCTATCCGTTCCCTCCACCACGGCAGACTCTCATCGATTACCCGGAGTTCGAACTTGCCGTTTAAATGGATCGGCTGCTCCGGCTGCTGTGCACCGGTCCATGTCGGTCCCTTTCAATCCTCGCGTGATCCCATCTGTCTGTGCCATTGTCTGTCGTTGGTTGATGCACGTAATAGTGTTAATCGGATAGGATAGAAATATTCATCGATTCTACGGAAAAAAAATGATTGATTCAGATTTCTAATCGACGATTCGTTCTTGCTATATTTTTCTCTTTTCCATTTCGAAACGGTCCATCGTTTAATTTCCAGGGAGCTTTCA